AATAGCTTTAGGCCAGGGAGGACAGAAATGTCACTGTGTTTCCTAAAGGGTGGAACAAACCAGAAACGCATTACATTCCATAGCTGTGATTACTGACATATTCATCACTGAAAAACAAAGAATGATTAATAGAACACTTATGAATGATTCATGTTATTAATGAATGACCCTTGACCCCAGCCATTTGTCTTATAGACGGTTGAAGCCACTTATTTCCTGCTGCAAGAGCATCTATTTGAAAGGATGAAAACACTGAAGCAGGAGTGCCAAGAGAGGGTGAAACGACAGGACGTGCTCATGCGCTCTGATATGGACCAGATCACCAGCTCAACAGCTTTCCTGGAGGGCAAACTCAGAGGTACATGATCACACTAAAAACAAGCCCGTTTCTTGCTTTTAAGAGCCGTTCAAAGAATAAATAAAATCTCTCACTGGCCAAACGTCTACTATTACATAATGTACACCCGTTCAAAAAGGTTTTATTTAAGGAATTCGTACATTTATTCAGCAAGGGTGCATTAAAAGTAAGATTAAAGAAATTTATAATGCTATGAAGCATTTATATTTCAAAAATAAATGCTGTTTAAAAAAAAAACTCTATTCATATCCTGAAAACAATGGTTAAGGTTTCTACAAAAATATTAAGCAGCACAATTGTTTCCAGTATTTATAAGAATAAGAAATGTTTCTTAAACACCAAATCGGCATATTAGTATGATTTCTGAAGAATCATGTGACACTGAAGACTGGAGTTAGAATATATTAAAATATTTAAAAAAATTCACAATATTGCCATTTTACTGTAATCAAATAAATGAAGTGAAGTGAAGTGACGTGACATGTGGCCAAGTATGGTGACCCATACTCGGAATTAGTGCTCTGCATTTACCCATCCTAAGTGCACACACACAGCAGTGAACACACACAAACCGTGAACACACACCCGGAGCAGTGGGCAGCCATTTATGCTGCGGCGCCCGGGGAGCAGTTGGGGGTTCGGTGCCTTGCTCAAGGGCACCTCAGTCGTGGTATTGAAGGTGGAGAGAGCGCTGTACATTCACTCCCCCCACCTACAATCCCTGCCGGTACGAGACTCGAACCCACAACCTTTGGGTTATGAGTCCGACTCTCTAACCATTAGGCCACGACTTTCCCTTAAATGCAGCTTTCCCTTAAATGCAGCCTTGTTGAGCATAAGAGACTTTTTAAAAAACATCTTACCGACCCAAAACCTTTGAACGGTAGTGTTTGATGTACATATTTATAAATACTTTATAAATGTACATTTCTTTTGCATGTTCATTAGTGAAGGTTAATGCGTTTTTGGTCCCCGTTACTGTTGTAAAAATTTGTATATATCTGAGTCTAAGTACTACATTTTTTCTCTTCCCACCTGGTTAGCCATGGTAACTGAGCCAGCAACGAAATACTGCACAGAGAAGGTGCAGCCGTACCTGCCAGCCATCTTGGAGGAAGTGATGGGACCCATAAGCCTGGGCTTCACAGAGGCCCGGGACTTGAGCGAGGGCATGATGGAGCAGCTGTGTCAGGACTTCCAGGACATTGAGCAGAGGGAGGAGCTCCGACAGGTGAGAAAAACCATAAACACCATAAAAAGTCCTTATGACTTGAACTATATTTAACTGTATACTCTTTCTCTCTCACTGAAGGCTCTGTTTAAGATGAGCAAGGCTAATTTACAGAGCTGTTATGAGAAAGTGAATGGACTGGCAGATCACGTCCAAGAGCTACAGCAAACCTTCAACTATCACAATAAAGGTCTGGTGGACAGCACACAGATTGACTTAAAACAGGTACCCAAAACTGTGTATCCAAGAAGCCAACTCTTTTCTAACTTTCTGTGACTGATTCTGATCCAAAACGTGTCTGTTGTGTGATTGTTTTAGCTGATGGAGAATACAGAAAACACCTTTGAGCTGCTTGTGCGAAAGGCTCTGGAGGATCCATCGGTCAGTCTTTCAATGGCTATGCAAAAGGCTTCGAACAGGGTTCTGAAGGTAAACATATAACTTTTCATTAACAAACACAGATGTCTGTGTTAGATTGCTTAATTTAATTTGTCTTCATGCTTCAGCAATTTGATTATGACAGCAGCACAGTGAGGAAGAGGATCTTGCAGGAGGCTTTGATCAACATCACTCTACCCAGCATCAAGAAGCACCTGGCCCCATCCTTCAAAGAGGTACATTTGAGATTAGTTGCATAATGATAAACAGCTACGTAAATACAAGAAGTGAAAGATTTCATATATTTACCATTGATGGTTTATATCTTCTAATAAATGTGTCTTTTCTCAAAATGTACTTTTAGGAACTACCCAAATTTGAGCAATACATATTTGCTGATTATACAAACTTCATTAATGTGGAAAACGTGTATGAGGACATTATCCAGGAGATACTGGAAAAAGACGTCAGCATGGGTATGTCACATGATCACAGCAAGGCCTCTACACACTGCCTATGCAAAGATGTTATTGATATTAGGGTCATTATTACAGTAGGTATAAATCACTGAATTAAAAATAAATTCATGCATTTTTAGAACAATTATGATGTTAGCACATTCACGTACAGTGGCCGCAAAATGTTTTAAAAATAAACATGTTTAGATGTCTTGGTATTATAACAAAATATCAAACCAAATTATATTTTTAAAGACATTTCATAGGGCTTTTAATAAATTGCTGTTTGATATTGTATGCTTCATTATTTCAATTAATTAGACATGCTTTTTAAAATAAAATTAAACCATTAAAACAGTCTAGAAAAATAAAAATGGAAAAACGGAATTTGGAAAATAAATAAAACAGAATTGATTACATTTAATTTTACCATTAAAAGAGTCTAGAGGGGAAAAAAACGGAATCCAGAAAAATCCAAACAGAAAAAATTGAATTTGAGAAAAAATAAAATGGATTTCATAGGGCACTAGAAATTATTACTATATATTATTATTAGAATTAGCTTTTAGATTTCCCTAAAATAAAATTCTCAAATCCGATTTGTGCTTCTGATTGGCAGTGGTCAAGGAGGCAGCCAGCAAGAAGAAATTCAACCTGTTCTCAGAAAGCAGATACAATTTCAGTGTGTCCAGCTTATCCTTTACACCCCCAGGATCCGCACCCAGCAGCCCAGGACATTTAAATACCTCCCCAAGACTGCGCACACCCATGCCGCTCTCCCCGCTGCTGGGCAATGGCCTGACAGCAAACCAATCTGTGACTGTTCACTTGTCAGAAAGCAGTGCACTGGAACAACCTCTGCCTATCATGGGAATAATCGATGAAGGAGAAAACAAAACACTCTTAGAGGAGAGCAGTGATGACGTATTTGTCACTGCTGAAACATCAACCTTGGATACATCAGCTGAGACTAAACCAGAACTCACCACAAATGCCATGGAAGCTTTTGTAAGTTCCATTCCCATTATTAAGGTAACAGAAGCTGTAGAAAGTGCTGGTAGTAGCAATTTACCAACAGGAGGTGATGCAATGTCTTCAGACTTTGCTAATAAGCCCACAGTAGTAGTCAACCCAATCTGTATGAAAACCTCTGGCTCTAATGATGAGCCTGCTGAAACCGAGGACAACAGCGAGGAAATGACAGAAGATTCGTCAAATGATCCAGCCCGGATTAAGGCACTAATACATGAAGAAAGCACATATCCGATCGCAGTTTGTTTATCTATTCAAGATGCAGAGGACGGAGATATCTACAAAGAGTTCACAGGCAAACAAATCATGGATCTTTCAGAAAAAGCCTCAGAATCCCAGTCTTTACCAAAACTAGAAGATGAGCCCAGGCCCCTGGACTGTGTGAAGGAGATCCGGGACCTGGTAGTGGAGGTTATTGAAATAGAGGACATGGTTCAACCTTCCAAAGACAATGGAGAAAAAGTTCAAGTTCAAACGTTCGAGGAACAAGATGTTGTAGTTTAAGTTTCAATGACCATGTCAGGAATTAAAACTTGTTCACCCCTTCATTTTTGTGTGTTAGGAGACAAACTGTACATTTTGAAGTTGGTTTCATCATTGCACAGAAGGTAATTATAGTTTACTGTAGATATACTGTATATGTATATACACACCACTATTCAAATGTTTGGGGTCAGTAAGATTTTTTTTTTTTTAAGAAATTTATATTTTATATTGATGAAATTGATAAACTGACACTAAGAACAGTAATAATGTACAAAAAAAAATATTTTGATTAAATGCTGTTCTTTTAAACTTTGTATTCATCAAAACATCTTAAAAGTATCACAATGCCCACTATAATAATATGCAGAACTCCTGTAAAATTACATTATAAAATATATTCTTTAAACTGTAATATTTCAGAATATTAACATTAAAAAAAATCTTACCAACACCAAACTTTTCAAAGGTAGTATATATATATTGTGTTGTATAAAAGTAGTTAAAGAGAATTAAATGTTTTTTTTCTATCTAATAAGGATTATTTGAATAAAATAAATGTAATATAGATAATCTTATTTCAATATTGTTTTAAGCTAATATGTACAAATGAATTGCTTTGTTAGCATTTGAATAATATATGAAATCTAATTTGTAACAAATATTGAGTTTGGAAATGAGTGTCCTTTGTGAATCTTTATGAGAAATCCTTCAGAAAGAAACATGCCATTTTTACAATTCCGGCAAGGTAGTTTTCAATCTTCACAACATGAGTAAAGGTTAAACAATAAGGGTCTTGAACATTTCCCCAAAATGCAAAGCTTTGTCAAAGTCTGCCATGAACCAGGGATGACTGTTTACCTTAGACCCACAATGCAGGCCCGACAGGTTTGTTTTCCATGGAATCTGGATCTGTGACATATCGACAGCGAGCTGCTGTTTGTTGTTATGCACAAACGTTGAGTGCCAAGTACATCTGCCACATGTGCACTGCAGGTACATTCAGCAGAACCACTGAGATCTGTGTTATATGGAGACAGTCACTACAGATTCTGCTCCGGGCATTTGGCTCCCTATATGAGATCCACATTAACAATAAGACAGTCCATTAATGCATAAATATGCATAACCACCCTTTTAAGGAATGTCTGAATGATGGGCGTGAATGATTAAGAATGAATGAGATACACGGCATTTCACTACAATCAATGAAAGTAAACATGGTAAGCATTTGCTGAGTTCCTGCTGTGCTAAAACCCAACTATATGCAAAAGATTTCTATCAAAGTAACATACACAAGGAAAGCTTTTAAACATCAATTTATGTATCTCATATTGCACCACATAAAATAAAAAGGCAATTTATATAAAACAGTAATTAAGACAAGTCCCAGGCACCAATGAAATTGAGTTTCATAAATACTAAAACACACATAAAAGAGACCAGTATTATTTCAAAAGTACACTTGAGTTTGGCTACATTACAAAATACATATGAGAGGAGAGTTTACATATCAAACTTTATGTAAACATACGCAAAACTGAAGGAAATCCTATTATGGATGACAATGATTGACTTAACGGAGTACATGAAATGCAACTAAAGCTACACAATATTTTGCTTCCAGAAACCTAAGCAACTGTCATGCATTAAATGGATTTGCTTTAATGTATAAATAAATGGTGTTTTCAACACTCATAACTTAACTCACCTACATCACTGAAACCGCATGCAACTAAAATCCTACTTTTGTTCTATTGCACAGAAAAGGCAATGTGGTGCCATTCGCTTCTTCAGTGTTGACAAGCAATACACAGTAGGCTAAAGTAGGATGTGTTAAAACTACATGATCGAGCTCAAAGTGAGGGCTGCAAATCATAGCTTCATTGAGAACATTCAGCTTAAAACACATTCAGACTGAGATTCACATGGAATGTAATCAATATCCACATATTACATAGAAAGAAATACTGATGATGAAGAAAATCAGTAGTGTTGCTTTCATTCGAAATGGTAAAGAGACTTATCAAGCATCTTTTGAGAACCATTTAATTGGTTTTTAATAGGTTTTAGGTCTTTCCTGACACTCTCCTACCGTGATGCCGTGTAACCGTAATACAACTGCTCATCAGGCCGAAAGCCGTAAGCCGTGGCAGGACGCGCTGGAGTCACACCCATCTGTCCGTACCCGTCTGTCAAAGAACTGGAGGAAGAAAAACACAGACAACTGTCAGCCTGTCACATCACTGCTGAAGAGATTCATCTCAAAATCTAACATAAATCGTGTAAATGTGTATTTTATTAGGAAATGACTTGTGTATGGGTTAGATAAAGGTTATGTGCATCACTAGATGGCGCTCTGATTCTGCAAAACAAAACTACCTAGATTAAAACAGAACTGCTCCAAACCTACATGGTGAAATACCAAATATATAAGTAATAATTATAATAAATTATATAAATTTACTTTATATCATATTATATGATATTTATACTTGGAGTGAATAAAATTATTCTAAAATTATATTAATTCCCAATGGCAAATGCCCAATGAGATCATATCATATAATTATATTATATTATATATTATTCACACCAGGAGTGTTTACAAATTAAAAATTTGATTTTAAAACCATGAGAATGACATTTTTATAATTATTATTATTATGCATACTCTTCTTAAATTAAATTGTGAAGTCCTCTGGGAAGCAAAGCTGTTTTAAAATAAATAAATACAAATTATTTATAAATTTATATTAGTGCTGTCAAACGATTAATCGCATACAAAAAGTTTTTGTTTGCATAATACATGTGTGTTCTATGTATAGTTATTATGTATATATAAATACACATAAATACAGTATATATTTTGAAAGTATTTACATGTCTATATTTATATTCATAAAATTTATATTTTAAATATATTTAATATATAAACAACATATTTTTCTGAAATATATACATGCGTGTGTGTATTTATATATACATAATAAATCTACACAGTACACACACACATATAATGTAAACAAAAACTTATTTTGGATGCGATTAATGGTTTGACAGCACTATATATATATATATATATATATATAT